GGGGTGGGGGTGTACTCTACAGGGAGAGTGGGGCTGGGGGGGAAGAGGGCGTCTGTGCAGAGCCACTGAGTTTAGTTGAATTTGAAAGGTTTGAGGCTCTAGTGCAGCAGCCGACTGTTGGGTTAAAAAAAAAAAAAGGGACAATTTTTAGTTAGTTTTTTTTTTCTCATGGCTTCTAGATTGTTCTGTCAGAACAGAGAACCTGGAGAACGTCCAACTAATGCAGTTCCCGCTGAACCTAAAGGACCGAGGGACTGCGAATGCGTCCAAAGTGTTCCTCCGTACCATAATTTGAGAACCGTTTCACTAATCTAGCTACAAATCTTTTTTGTCATGACCACAAATCGTGCTGTGGTTCCACGTTCGGACGTCTGCGTTCTCAGTCTTTGAAAAGTCTTTCTGAGATTGTTAGGAAACTGACGACGACTGTTTGACTCCTGCTGTCAGGTCGGACGGCCACGGAGAGACGAGTGTGTGTGTGTGTGTGCCGTGATTGGTCTGACGCGCAGTTTTGTTTACACGGCCAATCATCACGATGTGATGTGAGACGGAGGTTAAAGGTCAAGGCGTTCTATCTTTTTTGTTTTCTCACGTTTGTCATCTGGCAGTTCCAAATCAAACATGTTTATAGATTTCACTCCTTTTTGTTATAAATACGCAGCGACTTTTACTGGAACATGTTATAAATACTCAGCGACTTTTACTGCAGTTTTCGTTATTTACTCATTTTCACCGTTCACTCAGGTGATCGTTAACTTCACCTACCGACTGATGCGGCGGCGGAGAGAATCTGGTCATTTTTTAAAATAAAACATATATATAGTCTTTCTGTGCGGCCCGAAAACAATCGATCCTCGGACCAGTACCGGTCCGTGACCCGAGGGTTTGGGGACCTAATGATGTAGAATTGAATAACTGTTAAGTTGTATAAAACTGGTCCAAACTCTTACTAAGAGTTGGGTAACTTCTCAAACACCGACCCTCGTATAGAAACTCCGATCTGCGACGTCTTCAGGCTCAGCGTCGTCTGGTCCCTGTGGCTCAGTGTGAATTGTAATGATCTCGTCAAATAAACTCAAATCTCACACCGTCTCTGCCAGCAGGAGGCGTGGTGTTTGTGATGATGAAGAGGCTTTAGACCAGCGGGGAAGAAATGTAGGTACGCAGGTATTAATGTGGTCTGAACCCGGCGTCATGGTGACTGAAATTATCCGACGGCGGCAAACAGACCCGGATCTACCGTCGGGACGGTTTCATTAAAGCTGCCGCTCCCTGAGCCCAGAGTCTGTTAGGGCCTGGACACGTTCTGTTGTTCCAAAACATTCAAGGACCTGACAGGATTCTGGAATGGAGCCACAACAAAAAATAATTTTTTGTCAGGGTGGTTTCAGGGATGGAAGAGAAAAGTCGCACCTGGCCAGGGAGCAGATTAGACCCTAGACCTGGATCAGGTCCAGGTCCAGGTCCTGGTCCTGGTGGAGGACCATGGAACTATTAGGGCAGATAGACTCACGTTGTGAAGCTGTTCCAGAACCTTCTGCCTTCTGAGTCACCTCTCTTTTTCCTTTGATTCCTTCACATGTCTCTTTCCTTGTTTTTCTTTTTCTTTTCCTCCTCCCTAACTTCACCAGTTTCTCCTTTTTTTCTTTCCTTTTCCTCCTGCTTTTCATTTACTTTCATGTCCTTTTATTTTCTTTTTTC